GGTGTGTATGGAGCACGGGGGTGTCTGAAGCTGAATGCTTAAGGAAGAGAACCTGGCGGCGAGAGAAAGAGTGTGAACGTGCGCCCCGTTGCCCCTCCTGGGGTGAGTGGGCACTGCCTGCCCGGTTCCCGTCTACGGGAGTTGAATTGCAGTCAGAGTACCAGCTTGGCATCAGAAGGCTCTAGATCAGCCCTTAGTGTCACTGCCTGCCAGCGGCATGGCCTTGAGCAGCCACTTGTCCCACCTGAAGCTTTGTGTTCTCCTCTGGAGGGGATGAGAGCAACACCTGCCTCTCAGGTGGGCCTGAAGATTCCAAAAGGCATTCATTTGTCAGCGCACTGGGCGTGTGGCAAGTGTGAAGGGGTTCTTGCTGCTGACCCCCTCCTAGCGGTTAAAGAGCAGGAAGGCAGAAGGCGAACGGAAGCCCCGGGCCTGCCGCCTGGTACAGACTTCAACATCTTGGGCTTTGTCCCCAGTCTTGGCCTTCCAAACAAGGAGCCATTATTTCCCTCCATTTAGGTTAGAGAAGACAAGAGACCCCTCTCCTTCTGATGCTTGACTCAGTTTGTAGGGAGCCTGGAAGGTATTCATTGAGTTTTCGTAGTTTCTTAGCGCATCCTTACAGAATCAGTTAGGATGGTGTGCTCCCATCACACAGATGAAGAGATGGCAACACAGAACAGTGAGAGTCTTTATTTGGGATTCTAGAGACCACTGGTTCCAAGAGGGGATCAAACTCCTACAGCCTGATAGGGTAAATGAAGCCCTTGGCAGAGCCAGGGGGGATGGAGTAGTGTCAGAAGTCACCGTGGAGGCAGAAGGACCTAGGAGCCGCCTTGGATTTCAGATTTCAGAATTGCCAGATCAGCAAGTATCCTCTGGACGGGTTGCAGCCTGGCTTCTGGAGGCCTCACTGAACTGGCTGGGTCAGCAGGGTTGAAATCAGGCCTGTGCCTTCTCTGTTGTGTGTAGATTCGCACGTCCCCTCGTCCGCAGAGTGGCAGAGGGAGTCTATTGGGGAGTTCCAGGCTCTCCCCTTGCCTCTCTCACTGAAGTCCAGCAGCTGAGCCCTCCCTTTCTGTCCCCAGTGAGGATGACGATGACCATGACGTTGGCCTGTTTCTCAGAGCACGGTAGGCCTCAGGTTAGGAATTACTGGCTTTGGCCCTCCTCAGTGGATTGCGCCTTGCCTGACGTAGGTCCTTGGAAACCATGTGATGACACCCGCCTGAAGGACGGAAGGTCCTTCTTTTTCATGGGTTGCTTGGGCCTTAAAGCAGACACAGGCACC